AACAGCTTGATCGTGTATCTGGTTTTTTATTCACTTTTTATTCATTTTCAAATCAGAATTCTCAGTACGTTTCTATTTTCCAATAAACTTACTCATTTCTTCAATTGGATTTTTACATTGTTTCTCAAATTATCGACTAGACATCTCACTTTCAAAAACAAAGTGAATAAATTATGTACTTACACGTTTTAGAAAAAAACGACATACGCAATACATAATTCTTCATACGCAATAAATAATTCATACGCAATAAATAATTCTTCTCAGTAAAAAAATACATTATACAAGTATATGATACTCACTTTCTTCTCACTTTCCAAGTAAAATAGCGAGATAGACGATCAGGATTAAAGACATTTTTGATTTTATACGCTATGTTAAAATTTTAAAAATTTGGAATTATGTGGATTTAGGGAGAGTGTTTCTTGCATGTTGTTCTTATTGCCCTTGGCTTTATCAAAAAAAACATATTTATGATATGAATTTAAATTTTTATTAGTGTTATTATTATTATCATTTGCATTATGGAAAATTAAAGTTCGTAAAAGCTCATAATACTCTTCTTCTGAAGGTTTTTTAAAACCTTTAATTCTAAGATACAAATTATCTGACCGTGGTAATTTATTTAAGAATTTTTCTAATAAACTTTTTCCCTTATTACTGGGATTAAATTCTAAAGGACTATTTGGATCTAACTGATATTTAAGGTTAAGTTTATTTGAAGGTTTTGGTAAATCATTATGAAATTGATTTACACTTGAAAATTTTCCTGCGTCAGCTTGCTCTTTTAGTTTTAGTTAAGATTCTTGAATCCCAAATGATTTTTCCAAGCGTCTGATACTGACCGATAATTTTGATACAAATATTCAATGGTGTTAAACCAATAATTTGATCTAACTGGTTGATATATGATGACAGTTCAAAGGTACCATCCGCTTTGAATGGTGGAACTGATCTTGCTTCAGCAATTAAATTGCAAATTAACTGCGACATATTTAATTTGATGTTTTTTAAATTTTCTAGTTTTGTTTGAGTTTAAGTTTATTCCTTGCTTGAATTTTATAAGGTTTAATTCAGTTTTGAATATAAGTTAATAGTTCCTTGTTCTTATTCAAAATTGCACTGTGTCTAAGGCAGCCTTACCTTAGAAATACCTTAGAAATAATAATGGTTGGTTCACAGTGTTTGAATAAGAAAGAACGTTTAAAGTTTAATGTTATCTTTATTCTCATTTTTCTTTAATAATTACAAGCTTTTTATAATAAAAATATTGCATATTTAGCAATTTCAAATATCGTGTGCGTTTAACATAAAAAATCAATTTTAATAACAAATTTATCGTATGCTACATTGATTAACAAAAATATTGCAACCTAATCAAATTTGAAAAATAAAATATTACTGAATACTATATTTGCATGTGTTAACTTCTCCCCTTGTTAAGTTTCAAACGTCCTCATTCAATTGTTTGATGTTTTCGACGATTTCGTTAACTTGTTTGTGTGAAATTTGAACCTTTTTCGTGTTGATTTTGTTGATAAATTTGATTAAGCAAACAAGAAGTATAAGTGCAGTGGATAATGTAATGATTGAATATTTGAAAATATTTTGATTTGCTAATTCCTCATATAATGTGCTGATGTTATTGATATTGCCAATGTTGAGTTTATTTAGGTAAGGTAGCGAAAGTTTAATTTCGTGATTAAGCTGCGTTACAGTAAGTAATTTTGGTGGATGTAGTAGTTGGTGCTTTTGTGTTGTTGTTTCTCTACATCGTATCGTTTATTCGGATTACGTCTTTAAATTCAACCAAAAAAGTACCATTGATTGTTATTTGTTGTTGGTCGAATATTTTGGTAGGCGGTACATCATTAAAAAGTAGTATTCCATCTGCAACAACTTGAACGAGTTGCATTTGCTGTGGAGTTTCTGTTGGGCACGAAGCTTTATTATTATTTAGTAATTGTGTGAGGCATTTAGAATGCGATGACCGACATATGGTGATAGTAGTTGTATTTTGGCATTCAGCTAATGGTTGTAAATAATTTCGGCAGTTTGCTGCTTTATTAGTCTCAAATTTGATTACAGTGGCGTTTTGAATCACCAGAAAGATAATTAAAAAATTCCAAAAATTTTTAATTTGTGGTATTTTTAAGAAATAATAAATTAAATTGTTGTCTTGTAAAATTTTAATTTTTGATACAGTAAACAAACAACTAATGCTAACGGGAAAATTGTCAAGATTGATTATGTTTTTTATTTCAACATCGTCCAAAATATGTGGGTTTATAATATTATTTCTTGCCAGTACTATTAACAACGAAATGCTCTTTAAATGGTCAATAATATGATTATTTCGATTTATTAGAAATTCGGCCAAAAGTTCAAGTTTCTGTTGTGGGAGGTTAAAATAGTTTTTATTATGTTCAGTTAGGATATTAATCTGTTTCGTAAGATAGTTTATTCAGATAGATTGATCAATTCATACGCTTTGGAATTTCCAGGGTATACATTGCATGTGAAATTTCTTCTATTTGTTGATTTAAAATACTACGATGCCATTTTGTAATTGTTCAAGGTATTTCCAATTTTCTGTAATAATTTCTTGATAGTCCGTAAGATTCGTTGTGTGGGAAATATAGAAGTATTCTTCATAAATTGCTACTTTTCCTTGCGTTATGGCAATAAAGTGTGCTGAAGAGTAGTCTATTATTTTAGCTAATATCAGCCAAAGGATGACGACGAAAAATAATCTGAAATTAACGGAGGTTACTTTTATGGATTTTTCTACCATTTATCAATACTGTTTTTTCAACAAAAATTTTAGAGAATTTATTGCCTAAGCGTTTGTTGATGCGCAAAAAAACTTTGCTAATCGGTTTATATATTTTTGTATTAGAGTTCGAATTTAATCTGCTGTGAGTTTTTCCTTGGGAATGTCTAAGTTTTGCTTTTAAATTATCGATTTGTTCCGTGGAGTGTTGATGAAGTATATTGATTGGTTTCTCATTTATAACAGAATGAATGGAATTATTGTATTTATATGTGGCTAATAGTATTAAATCAGTAGTTTCATTGATATTTGGTTGCTCTTTGATACAGCGAGCGATTTCAAGGAGTGTCGCGTGAGATTTCTCAGCTCGACCGTTGCTTTCGCTGTGAAGGTTTGGAATAAAAAATTGGTCTATTTCAAAGTGGTCTCTTAGGAATCTTTTTATGGAATTAGCATTAAATGCCCTTTCGTTATCTGAAAATATGGTTTTAGTATTTTTAAATATGGATAAAATTTGGATAAGTGCTTCTTTAATATCTAGTGTGAACCTTGATGATATAGGTTTAACAATAGCAAATTTCGAAAGTTTATCAATACATGTTAGAAAATGTTGTTTGTTTGTAATTAAATAATTATATGCAAGATTTCTCCTGGACAGTTCGGAATGGGTGTTTTTCCAATTTCCGGTTTCGGGGGTTTGCGTTGGTATTTATTTTCCATACAGATTTTGCAATTGTTAGTTAAAGATTTTAACAATTTCCTCATATCCGGAAAGTAATATTCACTTTCGATCTGCTTGAGGTTTTCCTGCATAGACCTATGCGCTCTATTATGCTCTGTAGTCATCACCTCTATCTGATCGTCTTTATTTATTAAATCTGTTTCAAATTTGTCGGTGTGGATAAATTTAACACCAGGAAAATTAATCAAAATTACATTTTGAATTTGGGCTAAGGTTGTCAAGTCGCAGTGTATCGCATTTGTGACATCGGGGTTTATACAAAATTTGAGACATTTCAAGAGATCTTTCAAGGTTTTAAAATTAATAGTGCTTTTTTGGAAAATTAAATATTAAAATTAATAGTGTTTTTCTAATGTTTTTTTGGAAAATGATTTTAGTGATTTTACTGTTATGTGGAGATTGAGAGAGAATTAGTTGAGACTTGAATTGGTTTATTGGGTATTTAATTGTTTTTATTACGTTTGTGCTCCATAATTCACTATGCATTGTGCCGCTATCGTCATTATTTGTTAGATTATTAATGTACTGTATAGAGACAGCATCAGCTACTATGTTTTCTTTATCAGGTTTGTAATGAAATGTGGGCGAAAATTCTTTAATGAATGCTCGCCATCTCTTTAATTTTGTGTTTAGATTTTTATCAAATATAGTGAATATTAGTGGTTGATGATCTGTGTAAATGTGAATGTCATTAATTCCATATAAATAATGCCGCAAGGATTTTAATGCCCACACAATGGCAAGAAGCTCTCGCTCATTTGTGCCGTAATTTTCTTTAGACTTCGTGAGAGTTCGTGATATCATGGTAATGGATATTCCAAATTGTGACAAGACTGCACCGATGGCTACTGAGGATGCGTCTGTGGTAAGTTCGAATTTTTTTTTATAATCGGGATAGGGTAGAAATACGTCTTCTGAAGCAAGAATTTTTTTAATACGATTAAAGGCGGTTAGGGAATCCGTGTCTAATTTAATTTTAACTTTTTTTGACTTGTTGAAATGTTTCTACAGGAATATTCTGCAGATCATGAATCATTGAAGTCAAATTGTCAATTTGGACTGAGAATTCATTTTTTTTTTTATTTATTCAATGTCTAAAGAGAATCACATAATATACTGATTCTCATTCTAATGTCAAATTTGTATATTTACAATGTAATATAAAATGATTGACTATCTCCTTAATATTAAATTTCATGAAAGTGGTAGAAAAAATGGAAAAAAATAAGAAATAATTATATGTATACAAATCAAATATGTACAAGATTTTAAAGATTATAAAGATAACAAAAATAAGTAAGTACTTATGTGTGTAAGTATTAAGCAAAATTGATGTTATTAAGAAATTATAATGAAAGGTATATACAACAAGAATTACTAATCAAAAATTATAAAATTAAAAACAAAATCAAAAAAATAAAAAAACTGAATACGAATTTTTAAGAAAACAAAAAATAGAAAAATAGAAAACAATAATGTGTTTTCTTATGGTGTCAAACTGTAACTCTGTAGTGTTTTGTTGATTAACTCTTTTTTTAATTTATATGCATCGAGTTGTTTTAAGTAATCATTAAGCTCGTTATATAGTTTTATGGCAATATACATAGAAGTTGATGTTCCAAACTGCGAGGTATTTTTTCTGTTTACATGTAACAAATCTTTATATCTCGTATTTACTGAATGTACGTCACATCTTTTTGCTAAAACGGCTGAAGAATGAATGTTAAGGTACCTTAAGTCATGGATATGAAGTATTAATTTTATTTTGAACAAATCATCTATAAGCAGAATATCATTAGCCTGATGAATGAATTTGGTTGGTTCTCTCCAATTGTAATTAAATAAATTCTTTAACGCTCTATTTTGGATTGTCTGGCATACTAATTGTTTCTTTAGTAGCAGAACCCCATATTTTAATTCCATAGCTTATGTGACTGTGAAATAAAGAATAAAAAATCAATTTTTTGACAGCTTTTAGAATTGGCAATGAGATTCTTTTAAATACTGCAGCTACAACAGCGAGTTTACTGCTAAGTTTAGTTGTGTGTGTTCCATTTTAGTTCTTGATCGATCCACAACCCTAATTATTTAAACTCCGTTACTTGCTCGAGGACTTGGTTGTGAAGATAGATATTTAGTTTAGGAGAGAATGTTGTAATAACCATGTATTTGGTTTTTCTGATATTAATCACAAGTTTATGCGTCGACATCCATTCTAAAAATTTTTTAATTTGCATATTCATTGTAATTTCTAATTGATTATAATTCTCTGCTTGAAAAACTAAACAAATATCATCTGCGTATAAATATATATCTACGTTGTTAGTTTCTAGCTGTCGTATGCTATCGATATACAAATTAAACAGAAGTGGTCCTAAGATGCTACCTTGTGGTACTCCAATTTTTATATTAACCTTCTGCTTTCAAGGTCATCAATTTGATGAATTAAGAACGATTTTTTAGATACGCTCGAACCAGTTGAATTCTTTCCATTCTTTAACTCCAAATCCATACAGCTTTTTTAGTAATATATTATGGCTGACCATATCAAATGCCTTACTGAGGTCAATAAACACAAGTAACACTATCTTTCTGTTGTCTTTTAAGTTATGAACTTTACTAATCAAATCAACAATAGCAGTTTCAGTGCAAGATTTTTTTTGAAACCATATTGTTTTACGAAGAGTATGTTGTGTTTTTCCAAGTATGCTGATAACTGGTTGTGGACTATTTTCTCTATTACTTTAGATAACACAGGAGTAATACATATTGGTCTATAGTTGTCAAGAACATTTTTCACACCAGTCTTAAATGCTGGCACAATTCTTCCAGTTTTTATGTCCTTTGGAACAATACCCTCAACTAGCGACTTATTTGTAATTATTGTAAGCTGTTCACAAATGTATTTTTGGCTAGACTTGAGCATGTTAGACAACATATTATGAATATTAATCACTTTGGATTTATTCAAACTAATAATCACACGATTTGTTTCATATTCGTTCACAATTTCGAAATTAAATAGTTTGTTTGTTCTAGATGCTTCATAGTATATATTACTTTCAATTTTAGCTGCAAATTTTTCACCAATCGTAGCAAGATTATTTAGCTCATTAATTTTGTTTTCTGCTTCAGTGTTGCTTAGCCCATACAAAAAATTTTTATTCCGTTCTATAACGGCAGTAATTAGTTTTTAAACTTGGTCTTTTGTTATATTCATTTTGGTAATAATAATGGCAACATTACAAAAGTTGTGTTAGTATGTAGTACTTATTTATGTTCGTTTTTTTTTAAATATAATAATTTTTAATTAAATATTGGGGTTTAATATTTTAATATTTGTTGAGTTTTATAAACTTTTAAAAAATTTTAGCTTTGAATTTTTTAATAATTTATTAAGAAATTTCAATAATTTGATAAACAACCCAATTTTTTAAGGGTTTTTATTTAAATAAACTTTAAGTTAATTTTACAATTTACCTTAACCCACTATTTTGGAGGGTTTTGTATTCAAAAGTTAAATTAAATGTTCTATCTTCGAGAAAAAGATAACGATAATTTCACAAATTACTCTAACTCATTATTTTGGAAGGTTTTAGAAGTAAAAAAAAATATTGAACTATAACTGTCTCCTTTTAAGAGGGTTTTAAAATTCAAATGTGAAATTAATAACCGAAACCGAAAATTGAAAAGATATTAATCAATCTTGACTTACAACAGTTTCATGTGGGATCTTTTGGGCCACAGTGTTGAGACAATACAAAGCATATGTTGTTCGGACTAACCAAATAAAACAGCGATATGTTGTTATTGGATCCTTTGGGCCTTGTCCTTATTGATTTTTGTCACCATGGACCGATGTTGGGCGCCAGTTAATAATTCCTTTAAGTTCTTATTCAAAATTGCACTGTGTCTAAGGCAGCCTCACCTTAGAAATAATAATGGCTTGGTTCACAGTGTTTGAATAAGAAAGAACGTTTCAGATTTAATGTTATCTTTATTCTGTTTTTTCTTTAATAATTACAAGCTTTTTATAATAAAAATATTGCATATTAAGCAATTTCAAATATCGTGTGCGTTTAACATAAAAATCGTATGCTAAATTGATTAAGAAAAATATTGCAACCTAATCAAATTTGGCAAATAAAATATTATTGAATACTATAGGTGCATGTGTTAACTTATATAAAAAAGTTGCTTTTTTTCTAAGGCTTTGAAAAAAATCTGACATCTTCATTATTGAATTTTTTTTATACATTAAACCTATTGCACTTCTTCACAATAGTTATAAGAGTCAATTTATTATATTTATGGTAAATGTTTTTTTTGTTATTTTACAATTTATCTATTGAACTTTTTACAATAGTTTAAATTAACTTTTTAATCGCGATAACTACGCCAGTTTTGTGCATTACTTTATGTACCAAATTTATTTATTATAAAAAACAAATGAAACAAGATTTATTCTTTCTTTATTCATTCTAATGTCTTCACATCTAACAAGTTCAGTACTAAATTTTTTTTACGAAATATTACGAATTTTTGGCTTCGTTCTGGTTTTTTTCTTTAAATGCTACTGATCGTGTCATATTTCTTATTATTTTTTTCTATTTTTACGTAAAAAAGAGTTTAATATTTCAAAAATCTCAGGATAAATTCTATTGCACGAAAAAGAAAAATAGATAGGAGAAAAGAAAAAATGAAAAAAAATTTCAAATTCATATTTCAGTGTGGTTTGAAATCTTAATGATTCCTCATTAATATCTATTTTAATCAATCAAAGTAATCGGACGTGTTTATTTTTTTCGGATAAAATATTGTTTAATTAATTTTTATTTGTATTCGCGCGTTTTGCATAGTTGTTCCGGTAACTATTCAGGTTATGGCGGAATGTACCAAATGTAGAACTAAAATTAGAGGTGAGACAGAAATAAGATGTGCTGGTGTCTGTGGTAAAATTTACCATAGTGCTATCAAATGCTCAGGTTTAGAACAAGCAGCGAGCAATCTTCTAGATTCTAATAGGTGCATCAAATTCATTTGTGATGAATGCATTTTATACATTCAAAATGTGGATATAGTATTACAGAACATTGATTGTGCGGTCAAAAAGAACAATGATTATTTAAACGAGTACAAACAAGAGTTCGAAAGTGCTATAAAAAAGAATGAACAGGAAGTAATTGAGTTGCTAAGAGCTATTGAAGACAGATATTTTGAACGTCTTGAAGCAATTAAGGAAGCACAGAAAAAAGAATTTGAAAAAGTATCAAAAATAACGGAGGTATTCAAAACTGATTCAGAAAAACTGAACAGTATAGTAAGTTCAAGTCTGTTAAAGACCGATGAACTTTGTAAAGAAATTAAAAATTTAAACGGCAGTGAAGCAAAAATGAATGTAGGTCAAAGTTTTTCGTTTGCTGACATAGTAAAAAATGCTGAAGTAAGCAAAAAAATTCCGAAAATGAAAAAGCAACTGCCGCTCGTAATCAAGCCAGTTACTAAACAAAAATGCAATGTAACAAGAGCTGATTTAAGTAAGAAGGTCGACCCTAAAGCTTTCAAAATTAAAAATATAGAAAACAGAAGAAATGGGGTTATTATTGTTGAAACTGATGACAGCCCAGAAAGAAAGAAAATTAAATCAGCGCTTGAAAACAATCTGGATGAAAAATATGAAGTAAAAATACCATCGGAGATAAAACCAAAAATTGAAGTTATCCATATTAGTGCAAAATATTCTGAAGCTGAGTTGATAAACAAGTTGAAAGCTCAAAACCTTCATCTTGAAAAAAGTGAGTTAAAAATTGTGAAGATGTATAAAGTTCAAAAACAGAGTGAGGATAAGTACAACGCTATAATTGAAATAGACAAGGAATCTTTTCCTAGAGTTCTACCAAATGAGAAAGTTTCAATTGGATGGGAACGTTGTAAGGTGTTTGACGCTTTGCGTGTTCTTCGTTGTTACAAATGTAATGGGTTTAATCACAAAGCGGCTGAATGTAAAAACGAGGAAAATTGTTTGAACTGCCTAGGTAAACATAAAAGCAGAGATTGCAAAAAGGAAAAAGTTATTAAGTGCATTAATTGTTTAGTTGCTAATGATAAATTAAGACTTAACCTTGATGTTGGTCATAAAACTTTAAGTAAAGAATGTCCAGTTTACATAAACAAACTAAGTATGCTAAGGAAGAAAATTGGTTACTAGCAACTACAGTTTAACGAGAAAGATTTATCACAAAATAATATGCTCAAAACTTTGGAACCTACCTATGTTTGTGAATTAAAAACTCAAATATCGAATGACACGTTAACAAATGAAAACAAAGAAGTGACGAAACTTTTATCAAATTCTACCTCAAATAATGTGAAACCTGCAAAATTATTTTCGCCTGCTGGAAGTTCTTTCACAATTTTTAATAAAAAAGTGCTGAATAGATACTTTTATAAAGCGTAAATGTATGAATACAAATAATAATAACAACAATGATAATAATAATATTAACAACAATAAAAATATAAATAATAATAATAACAATAATAATACTGTTAAAAGTAATTATAATATTAATGTAAATAGTGATGATGCTAATGATGCTAGTACTGGAAATTTCAACGCTTTAAATGCTGACTCGATGAATAATACTGAAAAATCAAAAAAGTATTCCAACTGGGTACAAGGCGAAACACTTAACCCATGCAGTGATACAAAAGAAACAAGCTTTATTAATCCAATGCTCCCAACAATTGTTAAATTAACTCAAAAATTTCTGGAACAAGGGGACAGCATATATGTTCTTTCACGTCTAAGAGATCATAGAATTTATAATAATGTAAGACTTTACCTAGCATACCTTTTTGATAATAATGATGTATGTGTCGATGGAATAACTCATGTTAATATTAAAGTTATGATAAATCAAGAAGGTCTTCCAACTGACTTGGTAAAGCTACGAAATATCTATGATCAGTATCATTAACAGATTGGTATCTCTCAAAAGGAAGTAGCTAATGATTTGAAGACATACAGAAGCCACATGACTAGTAAGTACAGAGAACATCTACAAAGAACAAGACTAGCGTTGTACAATTATATGAAACCCCTAGGTAAATGATTTTTGAACAAAATAACTTAGATTTAGATTTGGATATTAGTTATAGTGACAATTCTGTCTTAAATTGTAGTAGTGTTTTCGAAGCTTCCTCGGATGATAACATGTTTTTTATTGTACATCAAAATATAAGAAGTTTAAGACAAAATTTCGATTTACTGCTAGTGCATTTAGAAACTTTTGTTAATAAGCCGGACTTAATTTTTGTTTCTGAAATTTGGATATTTGAAAATGAATTAGTTGAGTATAACATTCCTAATTATTCTTTTTTTGCAAATACTAATGAGTCGTATGCTGCTGGTGGGGTGGGTGTATTCGTAAAAAATACTTATTCGTATTCAAATGTTACAAATTATAATCTTGTATCTGCTGATATTTTAAGAATTGATTGTAAAATTAATGATATCTCTCTTTCTTTTATGTGTGTATACAGGCTACACAGTTCTTCAGTTAATGTATTTCTTAATGAATTCAATAATTTGCTTTTAAATATAAATTCTTCTAATTTGATAATTGTTGGTGACTTCAATTTAGACTCTTTGAGCAATACAGAAAATGTTGATTATTATCTTTCAATTTTAGCCGATAACGGACTGTTTTCTCTTGTTAATGAACCTACTAGAATTAGTTCTGGGTCTTGTTTAGATCATATTCATGCTCGTTTTGGTGTTATTCCTTTGGAGTCGTGTGAAAAAGGTGTGTTTAATTTTGAAATTACAGATCACTGCATGACTGGACTACTTGTTAAGTCTTTAAAGGTTGATAGAGCAAATAATACTCCTATTACTGCTTCCATTACAAAAATAGATTATAA